ACATTGTGCCCCCAATATCCCAGCTGGGGAAATGGCAGAAAAGCTGAAGCTCTCTGAGGGCAGGAAAGGAGACTCTTGTTTCCCTTCATAGCCAGGTCCTATAGATATGGCCTATTCCAGAGACACGCAAAGGCAAGGCCACACTGCAAGAAAACTCATGATAGAAATGCCCTAAAAGGGGCTGGAATGGTAGTACAACGGATAGGGCGTTTGCCTTGCATGCAACTGACCCAGGTTCATTCCCTGGCATCCCATACGGTCCCCCAAGCACCGCCAGGAGTAATTCCTGAGTGCAGAGCCAGGAATAACCCCTGAGCATCACTCGGTGTGACCCCCCCCAAAAAAAATGCCCTAAGAGCTCTTGTGACTTGTACTGAAAGAAATTTAAAATGGTCTGGGCTGTAGCCATGATCCCAGAGACTCAGAAACAAAGCTCAGAACTCAGTAGCTTTTGGCAGAAATGTGTCTGGACTATGCATTAGGTTTCCGGTGCTGGACCACCCCAGGTGGGAATGGGTTTTGTGCCTTGGCCTATTTCCCCTGGCGGCTTGGTCGCTGCCGCCATCTTCCAGAGGCCTAGGGACAGCCAGGGAGGGGCCCGCAGTGATGAGAAATGCAGGACCTCATGGGATGGGGTGGAGCCAGCCCTTTCCAGCACCACCACCACCAAGACCCCCCCCTGCCCCTATGACACCCCGAGTTGCCGCCCACAGACAAACCCTCTGGCTGCTGATTGAGCCGCTTATCAGCCATGATCCCAGAGACTCAGAAGCAAAGCTCGGAACCCAGCAACTTTTGGCAGAAATCCCTCCAAATTTAATTATTAAAACTTCAGAATTCCAAAATCACGTGGCCGCAATAGTGGCAGCGTATCATCATATGCAATTAATAATCAGCAATAGAAAACAAATTGTCTAATGTTGCCTTTTCAGCAGATCTGAGTGTTGGGGTAAAATCCCAAATAATAATGGTGGGTTTGGTGTTGAAATACTGAATGTAATCAAAGTAGAGAGAGACTAATGTGGAAATCATCTGCCACACAGGTAGGGAGAGGGTGTGGGATGGGGGGAATACTGGGGTTTTTGGTGGAGGAAAATGTGCACTGGTGAAGGGTCGGGTGTTTCATCATTGTATGACCGAGACTTAAACCGAAAAATTTGTAACTGCTCTCATGGTATTTCAATAAGGTAAGGTAAGGTAAAGGCCCTCCCGTTGATCGTCGATTTGCTCGAGCGGGCCCAGTAACGTCTCCATTGGAGACTTTGTTGTTACTGTGTCTGGCATATCGAATACTCTCGGTAGCTTGCCGGGCTATTTCAATAAAAAAAAAAATTTTAAATGTCCTGGGCTGGAAAGAGAGAGACAGAGAATAGGGTTAATGCACTTGCCTGCAGCCAAGCCAGGTCTGATCCCTGGCATCCCATATGGTCCTCTGAGAACCACCAAGAGAAATTTCTGAACACTTTCAGGTGTCACCCAAAACCGAAGCAAATAAATAAAAACTTTTAGATGTTCTAACCAGCACAGGCCAAGAATTTCTGAGTCATTTCCCCCACCTGCACCCCATGTCCTGAACCCCCCAACACTGCCCCCATCAGGCAGTGCAGTGAGGAGTAAGGAGAAGTGGGCCTGGAGGCAGGAGAGAACCAGGGAACGGCAAGTGTGGTAGAGACTGTGGTGGGCGGGAGGGAAGGAGGCAGTGGAGACTTGCATCTATGAGACTGATTCAACCAAACTAGTTCCCTAGGATCCCCCCATTGTCTCAGCTCATTGGGCCCTTGAGACTCTGGGTATTTAGGAAGCCACTCAGGGAAATTGGCTCCACAGGCCGTTGCTCTCTTCCTGCCACCACCCTTGAGTCACCAGGGGAATATCTGAGTTAGTTGTAACTAAATCTGCTCAGTGGAGACCATAAATCCCCATTGCTCCCTTCATTTCTTCGTAACCTCATTTAACAAGCATTCCTCAGGTCCCCTTGGGTGCTAGGTACCCTGCTGAGTACTGGGGACCCAGGAGCAAACAAATCCAGGGCCCAGCTCTCACTGGACCTTCCCCCGCGGTGGGGACAGTGAGACACAGGTAGGTGGATGCGAGCAGCAATATGAATTCATTTCTTGAGATTCTCAGGACGTAGCACGGTGGGCCTAGCTGGGGGCCCCCCACAGAGAGAGCACAGCAGAAGCTTCTAGAAAGTGACACAGGAATGGAAATCTGGTGGCTGCTTAGGAGACAGGCCTGTAAAAGGCAGGAGAGATGGAGCAGCTTAACAGGCAGAGTAAAAGGTCCCACGTGGGAGAGCTTGTGGCCCAGAGGAGAGGTTATAAGAGCTTCCGTTTAATGAAGGGGGTCACCAGATCCTCTACTGAGGGGTGAGTGACAATCCTGGGCAGGGGGATTGGGAGCATGTCACACAGGATCTTGTTCACCTTATTAAATTGACAATAGGGGCCCAAATGATAGTATAGTGGGTAGGACACTTGCCTTGCACATGGCTGACCCGGGTTCAATACCTGGCACCTCATATGGTCTCTGAACCACACCAGGAGTGATCTCTGACCACCAGTGTGTGTGGCCTGGAAAAAAAGAAGAGGAAGAAAAGAAATCATCTGAAGATTGGATGTGTAATCCCCATGGGAGAGGACAGTGACATCACTCTTGGGTATTTGGCAGTGGAAGTTAATTCCAATAATATTTTGGAGAGAAATTATTTCTCTGATTTTTTTGTGCTTTGCTTTTGGGTCGCAACTGGCAGTGTTCAGAAGCTACTCCTGGATCAATGTTCAGGGGACTAGATGGAATTGGGAATTAAAACCAGGACTCCAGTGTGCAAAGTATGCACTCTATCCTTTGAGCCATCTCCCTGGCCCTTGGAGAGAAAATTCACAAGACCCCAGGACTGTTTGAAAGGAGGATGAAATTAGGGACAACTTGTAGGTTTCTGACTGGAGTGATATACCAGGGTGGTGCCTGGTACAGGTACAACTCACTCCTATCAAGAGCATAGGAAGTAAAGAAAATTGGGGCCTGGGCCAGGGAGAGGGGCAGGGTTATGGGTTAGATGTGCAGCATACTGAGGATGAGCAGCTTGACAGGCAGCCGTCTAAAGTATGGGAATCCCACACTTCCCAAAAGCAACAATTTGACCCTGAGTTTCACTGGATCATCAATTGAGATTTTTTCTTCCTTTTAGAACTCAGCACCCAGGTATGCAAAAATAAGAGTTCCAGGGTGCCCCAAACCCAGTTAAACTAGAATAGACGACAGTTCCAATTTTAACTCTTCATCTTAACAGAGAAAACGTTTTCCGACGCTTTCAGGAACAATCCCAGAACGGTCAATGTCTTCTGGGCTTGTGAAAAGCTTCTGAGTTTCAGGAGCTCTGTTCTCAACCCTGTGACCACTCTTTCGATATTTGTATTGAGATGGAGATCCCCTCATCAGGATTGGGGTGACCAGGGGTGACACATATACCTGTCTGTAGTACCACACATCTTTGCCAGGATGCTTGCTGGAGGTCACACATCAGGCTGCAGTGTTTGCACACTCGGTCACAGGGCTCACTGAGGCATACACCACTGCACTCTCATACACCAGAGGCTGCAATTGCTGGCCATGGTGCTTGCACATATTTTTCTTTTTTCTTTTAAATCACCACAGATTATAAAGCCATTCCTGACTGAATTTCAAGCATACAGTGCTCCAACATGGATCCTTTCACCAGCATCCACATCCCTCCACCAGTGTCCCTAGTTCCCCTCCTGACCCCCAGCCTACCTCTATGGCAGGCACTTGTCCTGCTTCCTTTTAAGCACTGTGGTTTATAGTACTGTTGCTGATTATCTCTTTACCTCCTTTCAGTATCCAGTCCCTATCCAGAGTGACCACTTCCCTCTGTCATTGTCACAGTGGTCCCTTTCCTGACCTACCTCTCTTCCCCCCACAGTGGCTTCCCACTGAAGCTTGCCACTGTGGGGGGAAGAGGGGTAGGTCAGGAACCACCTCTCAGTTATTTCCCTCCTATTGCGTTTATGAGTGAGGTTATTCTGACTTGCGCGCCTTTTAGTTTTGATGCTTGAAATCTCTTGCCATGCCAGAGAACACAGAGAGCAGAGCTGCCAGCATCGTGCTGGGCATCTGTGAGACCTCTAGTTTGGAACTGCAAGGCTGATGCTCTAAGCCACTGCACATTCCCCCGAGTCTACCCTTTATTTTAAATCCTCTCAAATCTCTTTTTCACGTGTCCATCTCTATGGCTCTCGTGTTCTTCCTGTCACTATGGATATAGTCAACCTCCTACCTCTTCCAGGGGCGGAACCTCATGCCTAAGCTGCCCAACATGTATCATATGCTTTGAATTGTTTTTCCTTTTATGGCCATCACTGATATCCTTACACATGAACTGGGGGGGAGGGGTAGCGGCTGGTGTGGGGGAGGGGATATCAGCCTATTTTTGCAGAAGAGGATGTTAACCCTTGGAGATCCTAAGGTCACATGGTGCTGAAGGACCACATGGGGATTAGATCCCCGTCTGTCTGACTCCAAAGGCATTACTCTGTGCCGTGCTATGAGCTCGCAGAGAGCACGCAATGTTCTGATTCATCATTATACATCTCATGGGAACGCAAGCAGCACTTTGCACGGAGAAGACCGTGACCAATATTATCGATTGCAACTATGACATAGCCTGACTCCCTGAATATCTTTAGTGCTGTGTCTACTCAGATGGATGGAAGATGTGTTCTCTGTGTTCAGCAAAGGCATCATCAAATGTGCTAACGGTGTCGACAGGTGGCAGAATGAACGCAGAGCTCTCTTTCCTCTTCTGGATGACTCTTTAGCATTGAATACAAGTAATGAGGGATAGTGTCAACCAAAACACATTGCAGCAAAATCTCCAGTGCAGTCATCATGAGGTTAACAGAAGCATAACCAAATTATTGGTCTCAATAATTTACTTAATTATATTGAAAAATATGACAAACTATGTTTTCATTTGCTAGGAGTATAACATGTATGGCTGGTGGATAGGAGAACTGAACAGCCTCGTTGGGATTGTGCCGAAGGAGTATCTCACCACCGCCTTTGAAGTTGAAGCCCCATGAAGCCCAGGTATCAGAATTAGCCAAGGGTTCTGTGGCCAAGGGTTCTGTGGCCAGACCTACTTTCCTCTCAGAAGGATGGAAGTTACTAATGAAGTAACTTTGCTTTATTTACAAAATTGAGGGGCTGGAGTGATAGCACAGTTCATTTGCCTTGCTAATGACCCACCTTGGTTTGATCCCAACATACCATATGGTCCCCTGAGCACTGTCAAGTGTAACTCCTGAGCACAAAGCCAAGAGTAACCCCTGAGCACCATCAGGTGTGGCCCAAAAAACAAACCAAGTGATATTGGACCGGAGAGATAGCACAGTGAGTAGGGTATTTGCCATACCCAACCTGGGTTCAATCTCTGGCACCGTATGTGTCCTACTGAGCACCAGCAGGAGTGGTCCCTGAGCACAAAAAAGCCAGGAGTAAGTCTTGAGCACCTCCATGTATATCCTAAAAACATAAATACATACAATGAATCTAGTGATTTAAGTAATGTAGAAATGTTTTTCTCTTCTGTAAAAATCTGGAGAAAGGGAATAGAAGAAAGGGGAAAGGGAAGAAAGAGAAGGAAAGGGAAAGAAAGGGAAGGAAAAGGAAGGGAATAGCTCTTCTATACAGATAATGAAATGCACTCTGTGTTGGTCAGGTTTTTTTTAAGTAGCAAAAAAGGACAGACCTAACTTGTTCTTTTTGTGTACAAAGGGAGTTGTTAAGTGTGTATGAGAAATTTCTGGAAGGGGAAAGAAAATGTCAATGGAGCCAGAGTACAGTAGATAGGGCGCTTGCCTTGCACATGGTCAGTCTAAATTCAATCCTGGGCATTCCATATGGTTCCCTGAGCACCACCAGGAGTGTTTCCTGAGTGCAAAGCCATGAGTAAGCCCTGGGGTTAGAGCAGTAGTGCAGCGGGTAGGGCGTTTGCCTTGCACGCAGCCAACCCACGTTCTATTCCCAACATCCCATATGGTCCCTTGAGCACCACCAGGAGAGATTCCTGAGTGCAAAGCCAGGAGTAGCCCCTGTGCATCGCCAGGTGTGACCCAAAAAGAAAAAAAAATCCACGAGTAAGCCCTGAGCACTGCCAGGTGTGACCCCAAAACAAAAAAAGAAATAAAAAAGAAAATGATACCGTGTAAACATCCAAAACAGAGGCAGGGTGGGAGAGGGAAGCATATTTCCCTCTGCCCCTTTGTACCTTTTATATTTTGAATCATAAAAACAAATGTTTTTCCTCCTTTAGAACATAAAACCTCTCTCATCTACCTTTGGAAAGACACACCCTCGCCCCTCACCACTTTCCCCCAATTCCCCCCTCCCCCAAAGAAAAAAAAAACAGACTCTTCTTTTTACTGGAGATCCAAGTCTCATCTGACACCTCAGAGCAGCTGCAAGCCACACAACAGCAATCAGGAAGAGACTCCACTGCACCCCTGTGTCTGCACCCACCTTGTCCTGGCTCATCCTGCCCCTAACGCCACCACTCGTCCTCCTCTGCTTGCCACAGGCCTGTCCAGAGAAGACGGAATGACGGAAGCCTGGGGGAGGGTGTGGCGGTTGTTTGGGCTGGGCTGAAAAGCACAATAAAACTTCAGGTTTGGATTTTTGCCTTGTGAGGTGGTTGCTGTTCCTTGTTGTCACCAAATCAAAATGCTGGTTCTGGAGATTCTCCAGTGGGTGGGAAAGGATAACACTGTAAACAGGAACCGTCGGAGAAGGAACTTGCACTTGTCTCTCAGCAGAGCAGAATCGTCCCGGGGGACACAGGCCTGCAGGCTTTCTGCAGTTTTGCTTTTCTGATAACCTTCTCAAATGAGGCCAGGCTTGGAGCACGTCCTGGGGGTCAGCACATTGGAGAGTTCCATTCCCCCTTCCCTGCGTCCCCAGCATCTCTGCAAATCTCCCAGGGGCAGGGAAGCCTGAGAACCCGGATTTCTTCTCCTGTTTTCTGTGACTTGAAGAGAAACACAGTTGTTATGAACTCTGGAAGCAGAGAGTCTGGGAATAAATCCCAGGTGCCCAGTTATTACCTGTTATCTCCAGAGCTAGGTACTTGAACATTAATGCCTCATTTTTTCACCGTAGAAGGTGTATCTTTTACCTCCTGAGGTTATTAGGAAGACCAAAGTTGGGGCAAGAGAGAAAATACAAAGGGTAAGGCATCTGCCTGCATGTTGCTGACGCCAGTTTAATCCCTGGCAATGTATATGATCTCCCAAGCGCTGCTAGGAGTGAGCTCTGAGCCCAGTCAAATATGCCCCCCCAAAAAAAATTAAAGGAAAAGAAAAAAAATGAAAGAAAAGTTAACGTAGTTTTTATTTCATATACTTGGAACAATACCTGGTATGTAGTTTACTGTTTGTTAAGGGTTTGCTGTTGTCATTGTCTGATTATTCACATCAGAAATATTTTAAGAATGTCCAGCTCTGCGGGCTGGAGCCATAGTACAGCAATAGGGCGTTTTCCTTGCATGCAGCCAACATGGCCGACCCGAGTTCAATTCCTCCGCCCCTCTCAGAGAGCCGGGCAAGCTACCGAGAGTATCTCGCCCGCACGGCAGAGCCTGGCAAGCTCCCCGTGACGTATTTGATATGCCAGACACAGTAACAACAAGTCTCCAATGGAGACGTTACTGGGCCCGCTCGAGCAAATCGATGAACAGCGGGAGGACAGTGACAGTGACAGTCCAGCTCTGCAGTTATAGAAATGTTATCTCTGAAAGGCAAGAGAGTATTGAGTTTGATCCCGGCACCAAGAACACAGAGACAAAGACAGGAATAGCTCATGAGCATCGTCAGGGTGACAACCCTCAAATATAAAATGAAATCAAATATAAAATGAAATCTTATATTTGACTCTGGGGGGCGGAGCAATAGTACAATGGGTAGGGCATTTGTCTTGCATGTGGCCGGCCAGTCTGGGTTCAATCTTAAGCATCCCATATGGTCTCCTGAACACCACCAGGAGTGGTTCCTGAGTACAGAATCAGAAGAAATCTCTAAGCATTACCAAGAGTGATCTCAAAAGCAAAAAAGAAGACATTTTGTCTCTGAAACTGCTTTTTCAGAATAGCTCTCAACCAACAGTAGTTTTCCTCGCTTCTGTAATAACTGTTGTTTTAACTGGACCAGGAAATAGCCTCTGGGTATCATTTGGTGTAGCCCCAACTCAGATAAGAACAACCACCATGTGCTGTCCCAGAAGTAAGACACCTGTTTCACATCACTGAGAGAGAAACTGAGGAAAAAAAGAGAATCGGGGATAGTATTAGTGGTTTCCAGGCTTCTCTAGAGATTCTATACCAGCTATTCTTTTCCAGATTTTCTGAGTAAGAAATGAATTTTAAAAAAGAAAGAAAGAGGGGGCTGGAGTGATAGCACAGCTGGTAAGGCATTTGCTTTGCATGCAGCTGACCCGGGTTCGATTCCCAGCGTCCCATATGGTCCCCTTGAGCACTGCCAGGAGTAATTCCTGAGTGCATGCAGAGCCAGGAGTAACCCCTGTGCATCGCCAGGTGTGACCCCAAAAAAAGCTAAATAAATAAATAAATAAATCTAGAGAATTTAAAAAAAAAAAGAAAAGAAAGCTGTTTGTGTGAAGAGATAAGAAAAGGGTAGACTGTATTGCAAACCATAAAGCCCCAAAGGAGAGGGGGCAGAGAGAGAGAAGTGGCTGCCATAAGTCTCAACCTTTAACATGTTACTAATCTTTTAGAGAAGGACTTAATGGCTCCTGGGTGAAATACAACAATCTTCACACACTTTCCTCTAAGAAACATTTTTGTCTTATTTTTATAGTGTATTATTCATAACCAGCAATACAAAATAAATTATTTAGGTGCTACTTTGGGAGCAGGGTTTGGGGCTCGGGATGGAAATATGGTGGTGGGAAGGTGTGATGGTGGTGGGATTGTTGTTCGAATATTAAATGTAATCAAATGTTGTGAATAACTTTATAAAAATTAAATAAGTAAAAGTGGCTGCCATAGAGGCTGGTGGGAGGATGGCGGTTGGAGGGAAACTGGGAAACTGGGGGCACTGGTGGTGGGAAATGTACACTGGTGAAGGGAGGGCTGATGGAACATTGTATGGCTGAAACCCAATCATGAAGAACTTTGTAACGGTGTATCTCACAGGATTCAATAAAATAAAATAAAGTCAAGGAGTAAGTAAAAAGAAATAAATGAGAAAGAAAAGGGTAAAATGTAGGTTTGGGGTTGAAGGGAAGGAAAGAGATAAAAGTCAACGCAGAACTGATGGAAATGTCCCCTCCACCTCACACAGGGTGTGAAAGGAAAAGGAACCACTAGGTGGCAGCATATGAGCAGTTGAATCCAATAGAGCCACTTGCCTCCTGTTTTAGGAACCCTAGAGCCAATCCCCAGCGCACAGGTAAGGACAATGAGCATTGTTCTGAAGTGTTCCATAGGTACAGGTAAAAGAAGCCCATCCACACCCGAATTGTTTTCTCCCTGCTGAACCCCAGAGACCCAAATCTGGGAAGTAAGGTAGCTAAAAGGAACAATGGAATTCTCACATTGCTGTGGGAGAGAAGCAAGGGGCTGTCCAAAAGAGAAAGGACTAGGGTTGGAAGGGGATCTGAACCCAGTCAGGTGACTACATCCTGCACAGTTCTAGATGCTTCCAATACCCTGGCCACTGACTTCCAGTATCTAAAACAAAAGCCCTTTAGTAACCCCTTCTATACCTATTATTCAAAGAAACAACTATTTTCCAAATGGCAAAGGTTTTGCTTTGGTTTGGTTTTTGGCAACTTCATCTAATGCAGAATAGGCACCACACTTAGAGCACTGGTTCTTCTAGCTATAATATTCACGGTCACGGTCACTGTCACGGTCCTCCCATTGTTCATCGATTTGCTCGAGCAGGCCCAGTAACGTCTCCATCGTGAGACTTGTTACTGTGTTTGGCATATCGAATACATCACGGGTAGCTTGCCAGGCTTTGCCGCGCGGGCAAGATACTCTCAGTAGCTTGCCGGGCTCTCCGAGAAGGGCAGAGGAATCGAACTCCGGACAGCCATGTTGGCTGCATGCAAGGCAAACGCCCTACCCGCTGTGCTAGGAAAATAAATTAGATTGGCCCTAAAAAACATCAGCTAATGCACTGACTGGGAGCCTCGTCAATAGCCATCTGGCTGTATATGACATCACTAAATGCTGGAAAAAGTTTGAGAAGGGTGCTGTACGGATCACCCAATTCACAGGCTGAAAGATATGCTCCAGGAGAAGAAAGTCTATGAAAAGTTCCAGATAGACTGTAGGTATTTGTTCATTGCTTTCAGACGATTTCCTTGTGAGTTCTGCCTCCCTAAGCAAAACTGTTCCCCACTCAATTCAGCAGCCACCATTTTAGCCAGCAGCCTCCGATGTCAGCTGGTAAATCAGATTACCCCTCTCTGCCTCCACTAACCAGGCCTGTCTTACTGCCTGTGACTAACTGGTTATCTGGGGCATTAAGTCAAGTAAGTAACCGCATTACAAGTAGGATGGCTTTTAAATAGCTGCTCATTGCATTGGCATGTAAAGTAGGAGAGGGCTATGTATGTTTTTTTCCCTCTGGAGATTTTCTGTCAAGAGGGAAAATTAGGAAAACTAAGATCCTAAATATAAGCATCTAGGCTCCACCTACCCAGAGATGGTTCCATCGGGCTTGCGTTATCCAAGTTGCTAATCTGAGAATACTAAGTGCTCTGAAAGGAATCCTGCAGCTATATTTCATTAAAAATACATTTTTCTAGTACTCATATAGTATTCTGTCATTCTTATAGCAAAATAGCACGGACACTTATTTTACAATTACCTCAATATTAAATTTTCCCACATGATGGTCTGTTATAACTTTTAGAAATCTGTATTTAATTCAAAACCAACTACATTTTCCCTCTAGTGAATAAAAATGGGAAAGAGAAGAGAATTCCTATTAAATTTCATCCCTAAACCCAGACAGTTTTATTCCACTTAAAGTGAGAGCAATGTCCAAAGGTTGGGCCCACCAGACACTCTCCCTGGTCTGTGACAGATACTTTATTGAAACATGGTATGTGAGGAATAGCCCAGATTTCCAGTTCTCATTATCTTCTTACTTGGTTATTCGGTGGCATCCCCTTCCTTAGTCTTTGTAAGTAGCAAACCCGAGGCGCTGTGAGGTAGTAGCTTGGCACCAGTCACACGGAACCCGCTGGGGAGGGGAAATGGAATAAAATTCTCAGGCTGCTGCTTTGCAGCTGGAATCGGATTCTCTTGCATGTAGACACACCAGTAACACATTTCCAGCATCCACATTCCATGCCAGTCACGTGTGTCACAATAAGGCAGGGGAGTCTATGCCAAGTGCAAGATAAGATATGGGGGGGGGGGGGCAGAGAGGACACACCTGCCTCTGTCACCCATAGGATATTGCTCAGTTGTCGAGAGAGCACTTGTTTTGCATGTATGAGGCCCTGGGTTCAATCCCTGACACCAACTAAGTAAAAATGGGATTGAAGAGAAGCATGAAAGAAAAAAAAAAAAACATTTTTCCCCCAAGGAGCAAGGAAGATGGT